TAAATACACTACAATATTACACTAAATACACTACATTATTACACTAAATGCACTATGATATTACACTGATACATTATTACACTAACAATACATCATTACACTAAAACACTACGATATTACACTAAACACACTACGATATTACACTGATACATTATTACACTAACACTTAATTATTACACTAAACACACTCCATTATTACACTAAATACACTTAATTGTTCCACTAAATACATGTTATTATTACACTAAACACACTTCGTTATTATCCTAAATACACTACATTATTACACTTATTACACAAACTAATACATTATTACACTAAATACACTACATTATTACACTAACTAATACATCATTACACTAACACTACAATATTACACTAATACATTATTACACTAACACTACATTATACTAACTGATACATTATTACACTAACACTACATCATTACACTAACACTACAATATTACACTAATACATTATTACACTAACACTACATTATTACACTAACTGATACATTATTACACTAACACTACATTATTACACTAACACTATGATATTACACTAACACTATGATATTACACTAACACTACATTATTACACAAATCACATTACAATATTACACTAACACTAAATTATTACACTAAATACACTACATTATTACACTAACTGATACATTATTACACTAAATAGACTACGATATTACACTTACTGATACATTATTACACTAACACTACATTATTACACTAAATACACTACAATATTACACTAACTGATACATTATTACACTAACACTAGGCTACATTATTACATCAAATACATTAAATAATCTAATAGTGTTCTTTATGCTTGGACAATCAAGTTTAATGATATATATATTTATAATATCACATGTCTACATGTAGACTCAATCAAAATTGCAATAGACAGGCTTACACGAAAATCATTGAACCAAGACCTCTTGCATTATTATATTAACTACTGGAAAGCATTGATTTCTGTTTTAACACAACTTTTCTTAAAGCTTGTTAAACAATGGAATATTATTGTTCAGATAAATCAATCATGTTAAAACAGCTACAAGTATCGGAAGTGCGGAGTCATGTTTTCCGTATATCGACACTAAAACAAGTCATTGAAAACCTTTATTGATGTAACATCTGACATTTCACTGTAAAACGTGAGACGTTGCCATCATTTGTTGCCCTAAGTGTTCACATCGGTCATTGTTGACATTTATTATGATGTCAGAACTTTGCCTAAGAGAGACAGACGATTTCGAGGACCGTGAAGAGACATAGAAGAACGTCTAAACGGAATCAATATTGAGTGTAATATCATATTCTGTTATAAAGTGGCAATAAGCTTACACCATTTGCAATAATTTGCCTTCATTATTCAGGCTTTAATCCTACTCGACCCATACACGAAGCGAATTATTGAAATAAAATTGAAACATAAGATATTCCCGAAATGACTTAGTTTGTGTCGAGTGGACCTGAAACCTCATCCTCATCAATAATTTGCCTTCATTACACAGCCTTTAATCCTACTAGACCCCTACACTAAAGTGAATTATTGAAATAAAATTGAACCACTTGTTAGTCCTGAAATGACCTAGTTTGTGTCGAGTAGACATTAAATCCCATCTCTCTATGTGTCATTTTGTGTAACACAGATTTGTCTATTATAGGTTAATAAGTATAATTTGCATACAGGCACTGTTAGCCATGATTATACATGGAGTAAATAGACGTCACTACTCTTTGTCACTGGTGTGGGTGGGGGGGTGGATGGTCGAATGGTTAGCACGTGCGCTTGTATCATACAGTCTGTCATTGAGTCAACGGGTGGGGTTTGGATTCCCCGGTTGTACGTGACAAGGAGTATGGTCGCCTGTCCAACCTCGTGGGTTTTCTCCGGGTCCTCGGATTTCCTCCCACTGCTAAAGACCCCTAAGCGCAAGCGAATTATTGAAGTAAAATTGAACAATGTGTTAGTCCCGAAATGACCTAGTTTGTGTCATTAAACCCCATTTCTCTTTCTCTCTTTGTCAGAGACAAGAGCTTGAAACAAACCCATAACAGACCTTACAATATATGGCCCACTGTAATGAATGCACTCTCTTGCTACAATGCTGCTGGTTAGTTTCAATGTACCTCAGTAAATAGTACTCATAAGCAAGAATAGAAATGTAAACCAAAGTTGTTCCAAGAAAACTTTGGATACTTTACAAATACACCATTTCCATTGGCTAAGAATAATAATTTTTTTTTAGGATTTTTGCTCTTATATAGCCTACTGGGAACAAAGTTTTTATCCATAATTTTAACATTTCTCTGTTTTTCATTTTGAGTAAAACTTTTATCACTAAATGCCTGGGACGCTTGTGGCTAACGCCCCGGATCTGTTCATTTGATCTAGTACATACGTTTGTTGTTTGAGATGCCTTGTGTAATTGTTTGTGTGTGGTGCAGGTCCCTGCACTTCAGGGGGGTTGGATGGCCGAATGGTTAGCATGTACCATACAGTCTGTCATTTGATTCCCCGGGTTTTGATTCCCCGGTTGTACGTGACCAGGAGTAGGGTCGCCTGTCCAACCTTGTGGGTTTTCTCTAGGTCTCAGGTTTCCTCCCACTGCTAAAGACCTCTACGCGCAAGCGAATGATTAAAATAAAATTGAACCATGTTTTGGTCCCGAAATGACCTAGTTTGTGTCGAGTGGATATTAAACCCCATTTCTCTCTCTCTCTCCCTGCACTTCATCTTCGATAGAAGGCTTCATCTCGCTTTAACTACATACATCTTGTAAAACTCGCACTTACTACTAACACAGAATACAGTATTCATGTACGTTAATATTTTTAGGAGACATTCAGTCGAGTATGACAGTCTCAAAATGAGGGTTGATGAGAACATAAGTCACCTATAAAGGAAGTGTATATATTCTGTTGAAAGACACCAAGCGATGTTCTAGTTTCTTTCATAATCAATACCAGGTCTCGGTAGAAATCCATTAAGATATCCGGCAACCATATTATATATCATCCCGAGCGTAGTTTCGTATCGCGATCAATACTTCGCTTGTTGTCTGGCGAAATTCATTAATATCATTTTACACTGTTATATCACAAGTCAAATAATGATCAACCAACACATGAACCAGTACAAATAGTTTATTTATAGTTTTATTGTCTTTGATCTTGGGTCATAAAAACATCCATATATGTATATATTTCTCTGGGAGTAGTTCAAAGGGACTCTTTTTATATTTATTTAATGGAGAATGTGTACCAAAGACCTGACGATGTTCCGATGGAACTGAAAGCGAGAGAGAGAAATGGGGTTTAACGTCCACTCGACACAAACTAGGTCTTTTCGGGACTAACACATGGTTCAATTTTATTTCAATAATTCGCTAGCGCCTTGGGGTCTTTAGCAGTGGGAGGAAACCAGAGGACCCGGAGAAAACCCACGAGGTTGGACAGGCGACCCTACTCCTTGTCACGTACAACCGGGGAATCAAAACTCTGCCAGTTGACTCAATGACAGACCGTATGATACAGCCCTGGAACTGAAAGCACTAGCTGCATAATACTGACTTTCTTTCCTAAACATTTTAATTCTACATTGTTATATGTTCTTATATAAACTTATTGACCTGGGTATATTAATATACATAATTTGAACAGTGTCTAGTCATTCGGATGGGATGAAAAAATGAGGTCCTGTATATTAGTACTTTTATTAGTTAGAATTTGATATAAAGCAGGGCTTATGTCGACTTTGCAACTCAGAGCAACTGCTTTCGACCACTTGCAAGATCAAATCACCAACTAAGAGCAACTGGTGCTCATGTGGACCTCGAACTTATAGCGATAACACTTAACGTGTGACTGTCAGTTTATTTATGACATGATCAACAAAATGGCAAACACTAGAACAAGCACCTCAAGTGCATGGTCGTTCTTGTTACAATTCCATTATCTGTTCTTATATAACTGTATTGACCTAGATATATTTACATACAGACTTTAAGCAGCGTATAGTCGATCAGATTTTCTTAGATTAGAAGATTTTATCTTTTAGAATAGAAGGCTTTTTTTTTATATACTCAAGGGGATACTCTTTGGCTTGAGAAAATCTTCTTAACATTGACAGAACCAAGTGGGTTATTTTTTTCATATCTAAACCCAGATTAATTCTTTCCAATTACATGTACATTTTGGAAATGAAATGATCTTAAAATCTCCACTTTCCCTTTCCGATACATCACTGAAAGTTCATTAAAATGATATCAAAAAATGGAGAATCATATAAAAAAAAAATATGTGATAACTAGCAGATGACCGGGAACTGTACAGGCTGTGCCTATGACTCTGAAACCGGAAGTGGTAGGCCACCGCCACCTGACCTATGTTACTCCCCAGTTGGAGCTACCCCAATACACCAAATTTCATCCTCGGGGACAGCCCAATTGTAGCCGCCAACCCTAAACAGACAAACAAATGACAGTCACAAATATTAGTATAGATATCGAGTGTTATACAGTGTGTGGGGGGTTGGATGGCTGAATGGTTAGCATGCGCGCGCTGTATCATAAAGTCTGTCTTTGAGTCGACTGGCGTGGTTTCGAATCCCCGGTTGTACGTGGCAAGGAGTAGGGTCGCCTGTCCAACCTCGTGGGTTTTCTCCGGGTCCTCCGGTTTCCTCCCACTGCTAAAGACCCATACGCGCAAGCGAATTATGTAAATAAAATTAAACCATATGTTAGTCCCGAAATGACCTAGTTTGTGTCGAGTGGACGTTAAACCCCATTTCTCTCTCTCTCTCTCTATACAATGTGTTTGGAACGAACAATCTTTTGATTTAACATTCTGTTTCTTGTTTCAGGAACAGATGCTGACATGCCATAAAACACTATTTAATTTCAGGAACAGTTTATATATAACAGATAAAAAAATAACACGTCTTTTAATTCAGCTTTCCGTTTGTTCTTTCAGGAACAGCATATATGATAGATGAAGATGACACATCTAGTGACAGTGATGACGAGGTTTTAAAACATTATCAAACCTCCTTGGCACAGGGATTAAAAACCTCTGGCAGCGTTCGCAGCGCTCTGTCCAAAAAAAGTAATAAAAGCTCCAAGAGTGGAAAAAGTTCCAAAAGTAGTAAAAGTGCAAAGAGTCAAGCAACTGTCAAAAGTCTAGGTTAGTGTCTTTTATTAGAGGCCGATATTGAAATGCTCTCTATCCTTCCGTCCATGTTTCTTGTTTTTTTGTTTTTTCAGTGATAACGTTATGAAACTTTTTAGATACATCAACCTATTGATAATACTATGCTAAGCAGCAAAAGAAATGTCGGACCGAGACCAAATAGAGCCGATGGTTTGCGCCAGGCTTTTCTGAGAGTGTGGTTCCAGGTGCCATTGACGTTCATCAGTCGTTTGCGCTGCTGTTATTGACACTCGCGGTGGACACACCAGATACTGATGTATAGACTGTGTACAGACTCCAAACCTTCTCTAATGTCTTGGAATTGTGATGAATTAATCACAAAACTGTTCACAAAAAATTGCTTTGAACCATTTAGTAAGCCGTTTTCTAGAATGATTTGATTAAAGTGCCTCTCTGATTTTGAAATTGTACTGACGCTTTTTTTCTTTGCTGTTTAGTATATTATGTAGCTGTCCCTTTTGCTAGTTTGAAATTTCTCGGATTTATGATATGATATACGTTTGTGTTTCCATGAAACCAAGATCTGAGACTAAATAGTTAAACATACATTATGTACCAGCTAAATCTGCCTGTTGCAGGTCTTTCTTTAGGTCTGAAATGTTATCTAAATTATTAATTAGACAACACCAAAATCAACTATAGATGCCATCAGATGGGTCGGATTTTCATTAGATTTGAATCTGATCTGCAGTTCAATGGTCTTGATGATTAACCGTAAAAATGGATAATTAAGACATCGTTTATTATCGTAACAACAGTAACAATGCCAGTCAAGGACTCGAGGCCACAGTGTTATTAAAATGAGTATTTTTTGCCTCAGAGTGAAGTAATTTGAAATGACCTGGTTAAACCCCATGAATTCAAAGTAGATAGGCGGAAGCTTTTTATGCATGTTACTTAGAAGTGGATATTACCATGTTAGTCTAAAAACGACTGCGGGGTGGGGGGATGCGATTGGTTAAAGCGTGTGCATTTAATCAGAAGGTCTGTCATTGAGTCAAGTGACCTGGTTTTGATTCCCCACTTGTAGTGACAAGGAGTAGGTTCGCCTTTCCAACCTTGTGGGTTTTCTGCAGGTTCCCCAGTTTCCTCCCACTGCTAAAGACCCCTACTCACAAGCGAATTATGTTAGTCCCAAAATGACCTAGTTTGTGTCGAGTGGATGTGTGACGAGACATTAAATCATATTCTATTCAGATGAAATTATTGACTGGATGTTCACATAAATTTACATGTGTAAACTATGATTTTATTGTTGACGGAATTTACATGTGTTGACGAAATGATCAAGCCTGAATGAACAATTATGAGATTAATAGATTTCCAGGTATGTGGCAGCTATGATTTATTATTGACTGGATGATCAAGTAGATTACTAGATTTCCAACTATGGAAGTTGTGATTTAATTAGATATCGTGTAAGCACATGTATATAAAATATAATCAATCGTCCTACATGAATCTGTTTTTTAGTTTCAGTCAATATAACATTATACAATATTGATCATATTTCTCTGCTAAATATTAAATATCTTAACAGGATAAACAGATGAATTTATTTCAGTTTGAGCCAATTCAAAATAGTATTCTTTTTTTTTTATATCAGTTTAAATTAAACGTATATGTAAGAGCTATATCTGCCTTTTGCAGGTCTTTTTTTCGTCCTGAAATGTTAGACATTTATTAACATGAAAAGACCATAATCAACTCTCGATGCCATCTTATATGTCTGATTTTCATTGGATTTGACTCCGATCAACTGTTCAAAGCCCTATGATGATCAACCTTAAAAATGGATAATCAAGACTTTGTTCATTATCGTGACAGCTGTCACAATGACAATAAGGGCTACATTGATTTTAAAATGTGAAATTTTTAGCATATTCCATTAACATCATCTAGTTTTTAACTATTAAACTGAGAACTGCCAGCTCTTTATCTAATCTTCCATAAATTATCTTCAAAAATAAACATGGGAAATATGGCGGACAATTCAATCATGTATTGACAGATACAGCAGTATTAAGAGGTGATATTTTATAGAACTCTCATGCAAATCTTCATTATAGGTCTTCAAAGGTTTCCATTTTCAAACTAAAGTGTTTAGTATTGTAGTATTCATTATTCATTGTCAGTTTAAATAATGGGAATTTGATGAGTCTTCTGGGTGTGGTCTAATATTAAAAAAGTAAACAGAGAAACATACATATATTTATTTGATGACTGACAATTTCATGAAATCAGAGAATGCATCAAATGCATCAGTTGATCGAATGAAATGAAAGGAGGTTTAATTATTAATTAATATAATATCCTACTTTTCTGCACCAACCAGGCTAGTAAACCCAGAAATACGCCATGCAGTGTGCTGTGAGGCACATTTTACCTGGGCAGCAGCGTTTCCGTCTATTCTTTGAAAGTAAATGAAATGAGATCTAACGTCCTACTTTTCTGCTCCGCTAATGAAGATGGGCATACACCATGCAGTGTGCTATGATAAGGGAAATTTTGCCCAGACAGCTACGCTACGGCCTGCTCTTATATCGAATTCCAACAGTCAAAGGATCTTTTACATGCATGGCAATACATTTATGTACACATGACCTCAGTTTTTCATCCCATCTGAATGACTAGACAGCTGTCCTTGTCAGGCCCTCCATCCTGCACCACTGACAAGGTGAAACCATGCTGGTAAATCCTGATGAACTTTCTCGTTGAATACCGGGAACCAGGAGCAAGCTAACTACCTCCAGGCTAGCGAGCCAGCATCTTACTCACTTAGCTACCATGGATTGCCCGATTGTTATTTGTCAAACTTAAAATGCCAATGGTTCATATACATGCCTGGCAACGTGTACATAGGGAAGTGGTTATTTGTCCCATCCAAATGACTGGACACTTTTCCTTGCCTGGCCTTCCACCCTATACAACTGACAACAGTTTGACCATACGAAGTTACAATCAACAACATATATGCTCTGGTGGCTCGGTGAGTAGGTCATCGGCTCACTAATCAGTATAGGTCGTGGTTTCAACTTTGGTGTTGGCAGAGAGAGTTCCTCAGGATTTTCCAGTGTTGATTCCCCTTGTCAGTGATGCAGGACTAAAGGACTGCTCAGGACAAATGTCTAGTAATTCAATACCAATTCCAATGCACGTAACAAGGCATGTAGTACTAAGTAGTTTGGACTGGATATAAAGCTGAAGGCCTGTTTATACCATTGCCAGTATGTGAAGGATCCCCTGATAGTTGGATATCAAAATAAAATTACACCAAAGGCTGTGTATGGTTCCACCTCGTCTCTTGCCACAACGGGTTCCCCTTTATTTCTGTCATATTAATTCTATTGTGAATATCAACCAAGACTTCCAGAACTATTAACATTTGCTAGAAACCGTTCTCATGGGGTTGACATATAATAATATAATTGGTGAGATATTACTGCCCTCTAATAATTGATTAAGTCCCACATTAAATGGTTTTATGATCTGCTAATGAATGAAATAAGGCATAAAGTCAATCATTTGCCCATTGGATGTTGAGTTGTGGCCAGAGATCCATCGTAGATAACCCTGTATTTGGTTAAATTGTTATTTGAAGTTTGTAGCATCAAAGATTTACTTACAGGATTTTTTCTGCCAATTGATTCATCACTGTGATTCTTGTTTTTTTGTGGGGTTGTTTGTAATTTTCTGACATTCTTTACTTATTGGAATTTGATAGGGAATATAAAGAACAATAATTATATCAGTGTGTTGTTGCTAATACCTTTAATGGAATAAGAAAGAGCAGGGTTTGCAAAAATCATAAATGGAATGTTGAAACTATTTTAAAATTTGTTCAAGAGTTGAGCATTTTGTATAATATTGGGAGTAACAGTTGAGGGTTTTATTGGATGTTACAGGTTGTGTGTTAGTACTGAATTTATGTTTTTAATACATGTATGACTGATTTTGGATAGTAGAGAGTTTATTGCATCTTATAGACTGTGTGTTATTACTGATTATTAGTTTTAAGAGGACTGATTGGGTGGTAATTAATGGATTGTGTGTTATAACTGGATTAATAGTTTTAAGAGGACTGATTTTGGAGGGTTGAGAGTTTTATGAGATGGTTAATACTCGATTTATATTTTAATACAATTGATTTTGGAGGGTTGATACTTTTATTGTTGGATGGTATTGTATGTAATAATTGGATTAGTAGTTTTAAGAGGACTGATTTTTTAGGGTTTTATTTGGTGGTTTAGATTATGTGTTTTAACAGGATTAATAGATTGTTTTATTGGATGTGTTATAACTAGATTAATAGTTTTAATAGAACTGATTTTGGAGTGTTGAGGGAATTATTGGATGTGTTATAAAATGGATTAATAGTTTTAATAGGACTGGTTCTCAAGGGTTGAAAGTTTGATTGGATGTGTTGTAACTGAATCAATAAATTTAATATAACAGATTTTGGAGGGTTTAAGGGGTTTATTGGGCGTGTTATAAATGGATTAGTAGTTTTAATAAAACAGATTGTTGAGGGTAGAGGGGTTTATTGGATATGTAATAACTGGATTGATAGATCTAATAGGTCAGATTCTGGAGGGTTATGGGGTTTTATTAAATGTTATACATTGTGTGTAATAACAAGATTAATAGGACTGATGTAGAGGGAAGGGGTTTTATTAAATGTTATACATTGTGTGTAGTAACAAGTTTAAAGGACACTGCAGAGGATTGAAGGTTTTATTAGATGTTATACATTGTGTGTAATAACAAGATTAATACATAGAGGACTGCATGATTTTGAGGGTTTTATTAGATGTTATAGATTGTGTGTAATAACAATGTTAATAGACTGATGTAGAGGGAAGGGGTTTTATTACATGTTATACATTGTGTGTAATAACAATGTTAATAGACTGATGTAGAGGATTGAAGGTTTTATTAGATGTTATGCATTGTGTGTAATAACAAGATTAATA